CCTGCAGGCATGAACTCAATAAATATTTTCTATTTCAATAATCACTAGGACAGAAGTATGGAGTTCTCTGACTAAAGCATGTGTAGAATGCATGTGCGAATTTATAAGTGAGTTGGTGACAGTGACGAAAAAACGATACATTTGGTTGCCCGGTTTTGCTACTGTAGCACAGGAACAGTGCTTACAAGTTCTCAAAAAAATAGAAAACGGTTGGCCGCTTTAGACGCTGAGAGGCAGCGCAGAAATAGTAGACTTAAAGAGAAAAGGGTAGTGAAATTCCTGCTCAATGTAGGCCAGGGTTTGTTCAAGAAGACCCTACCGAAGTATTCTCAAAGGGGAGCTTCATTTCATCGAAACAAAACACAATTACACCCTGAAGGTCGAATAATGCTTTTCACCTAGCCTTAGAAAAGTTGACTAAAAGCACACAGTAAAGTTTGAATTTGCTTACGTGTTTTTAGATTTCACTGAAAAAAATCTAGGCAGGAATTTTGAGACGATCTGGTTAATAGTCTCCAAAACGGAATCGGGTTGAATAAATCAGAGACAGCAAAAAGCAACAATACATGGAAGATGACCTTCAGAGCCAAAGTAAATAGAAAATTTCAGCATCTTTTAAGTGGCAATTATACAAAGTAACTGCGAAGATTAGTTCATGACAGTAATTCACCATAGCTAGCTACGATATTCGCTACTACTTATCAAGACAATAGACAATGCTACGCCAAGCATAAATTAAACGACCTTGCTCCATCAAAACTGTCGCAATATTGCGCGTTTCAAATTCAAAATGAAGTTGAAGCGAAAAATTTGCTTGAGTCGGTTGCTGAAGGCGAATATTTTGGGACACTTTTTATCATTTACTTTCGGCAAATTCTGCCTGGGTTAGACTCATGAGGAGGTTTACGGTAATGCTTAGTTGATTAAATGCTAGTATTACCGATGATGCCATTTATCTGCTTTAGCTAATAGGTGACTTCGAATCCAGAAATCAGCTTTGGCGCAATAACAATTTTATGACACCAAAAGATATGGGTTACAACCTTGAAAAGTGAATTTAATTTCAAAGAAAATCCAGTATAAGGAACATACACGTTACTAAAACACAACACCTGTTCCACATTCATTTGTACAATTAATAGGTTTCATATTTCACTTGTAGCACGTACAGTCTTGAATATAGGAATAAAATCATGTGCGCTCACGAGACCAAGTCCAACCTTGGGTGCCATCGTTCCACATTGGGAAAGGAAAAAAAATGTTCCACAACCCTGCTTGAAGTGCACTCTGCATGAAAAGACCATTTTGCGCCCAGAAGTAGACAAATATACATGCGTGTATGAGTGCTTGTAAGGATTCGATGATCTCCATTAGGGCAAAACAAAAAAAAATTATTCCGCAATGGTTGTAAACAGCAAACTGGTAAAGATCGACAGCTCATTTCCATGCGAAAAGAACACAAACACTTTAGCAAAGCATGAAATCACGATTGTATATACGAAGAGCCTTAACTAGGAACCGGAAACTAGCAACTGTGTAACTTAACTAAGCTCGCGTTTGCGGCTTACATTTCAAAACCAATTTTCAAGACAAAATGCAGAGTTTAAAAAGCAGGTTTATAAAAGTGTGAGGCTGTGCACCTAACCAAGAGAGAAAAATGAAGAAGTGTTCACCCAGTTCTGCATGACTTATGCGATTTAGCACTAATATAGCACTCCAAACACGTCAAAACAACTATTACTGCCGTCAATAATTTTGCCCTGCTACCGATTCCTGAAGGAACTTTTGGATGGCACCAGATTCCTGCTAGCTCAATCCCTGCTCTTGATTGAGCAAGTACTTGTAAATAGGCGTTTGCATGCATGTATGATCTCCACCCAGCCAGCCAATGACACACGCAAACGCGCGTGGCCCTATCTAGGGAGAGGCAGCCTTTAATTGCTTTCGTACTTTGAATGCGTGGAACAGCGTAGGTCATGGGATCAAGAAAGAAACCACATTTGTCATTCTATCATGATTTGGAAGATGGAAACATTTCTCCGATGTGTAAATCCAAATAACGATACGAAAAGAGGGTTATGAATAAATCTATTCTACCAAAATCGAAAAATGGAAGCATGAGCAATGTTTAACAGATATGGACGTAACGATCACTAAGCCTACATTGTCAGCAGATTCATGTCTTAATTAGCGACATGTGGAAAGATTGCATGCCACCGCAAGCATTAAAATTGTCGATACATTAACTATTGTCAGCTAAGACACAAGTATTTTAAGAAAATCAAATATCTTAGAAGCATTTATATCATAACGCGCTCACGATCAAAGAACGCAAAATGCTAGTACGCTAGTCGAGAAAGTGAAGAGAAGTACTACATTTGATGGTTTCCAAGACAAACAGCATAGGAGATCATTATTTTCATTCGTAGGGCCTAATTTACACCAAAGAATGACTGTTAATGCAAAGCCTGAATTTTAAAACACCTGAGTATCAAAAGTGTAGCTGCATAAAGAGCGCCAAAAAACACGTATGTCTGATAAAAGGCGATGGAATAACAAATCTGAGAAGAAAGTAAGGTGTCAAATATGCGGAAATCGAGTTTTCATTTCACCATCCACGAATTGTGCAGGTGTCAACATATTATACAAGGAACCAAGAGGCTGAAACAAAAAGAACCGCTTACCTCCCCAAGTTTAATTTCCTCAAACTTAATGACCCGCAGATTTGACAAGCTTCCCTGCAAAACATCGCCTATGTAACTTTGATGTATCCGTAAATCTTCATCGTCCTCCCCATTTCCACGTGCTGGATCGGCGAGAAAATGCGAAGTACCAACACGATTGGCTACAAGAGTTCCATCCATGAGACATGGGCAGGTAGAATTTTGGAGTAAAGATCTATGTTCCTCCAAGAGATCATGGTGGTTTTGGAGGTGGTTGTCGTCAGATTCAAAATTTGGCGCCTGAAGTTGCACGTAGTTGGCAGGGAAAACACCGACTTTCCCATAGCTGTCCTGGCCAACCCACCAACCCTCGCTTCCTGACACTTTGGGATCGATAGATAAAACCTAACAAAAAGCAAAGAATATGAAAAGCTGTAGGATAGTTTAGCAAGGAAAAGTAGCTACTTCAATTCAAGACCTGGATAAATGCAGCCAAAAATAAGTCACAAGTATTTCATCACCCCAAAAGGTCAAAACTACTTTTAGAAAATAGATCGCCAATGAATGAAAAACTAGTTAAAACAAACTACATGATTAACACACAAGGATCATTGAAGCGAACGAAACCCAAAAGCAGTGGATTCTTAAGTAATGTTAACTACAAAGTACCAGAACGCTCATTCAGTTTCGAAACAAAAAAGTGGAAGGGTCCCAAAGACCACAATGCTTTGGAAGAAAGGTAGAGAAGGCTATGCGAGGCTAACCTGAACTGCTTGACCAGTAGTGAGGCAAAGTTCATCATCACATTTGGGCCTATATTTAAGCAAAGCCACAGCCCAATGCGAAGCAGACTGAGTTTTTGAATTGCTTGCAGTGATTACCGACATCAGTGGCAAAATTTGTTGCAATGACCGTGAATGTGAGGGAAAACCAATAAGAAAACTCTAACCACAGAACACGAATACAAGCCAAATAGCATGAAACATAAGTCCCCCTCAGTCAAAATGAAATTTTCAATTTAGCGTTAACCCGGCAGACCATCAAATCAGGTTGACAAATGGCAAAAACGATCAGCGGTAGAACATTGATTGGTTCGTTTCGGAATGCAGACCTATTAACTCGACTATTAAAACAAGTTCGCTATTAAATGGTATTTATTTTGTAGTACTTCTCTAACAATAATTACCAGTTGTATTTTAAAGTTAAATACTTTATTCCTACGAGGAAAGCCTGTCAAATGTCATTTAGCAAGTAAATCACTTCCGTCGTTTTTTGTATTCGTTTGCTCGCTATTCGGAACGAGTTTTCAAACAAATATGTTGGAAGCGCCCGAGAAAAGTAATGCTAATTCATTTGAATGCAGTTTTATGCCTCAATGCAACTGTAGAATATGTTCGTCGGTGCAGTGGAGGCCTGTGTCTTCATTAAAACAGTAACGTTTTTTCCCGGCATTACTCCAGCTTGATGCACCGTCGACAAAATTTTGAAAACCAGAACTTTTTGGAGTCAGGAGTGTAATATATACTGATGTGTAAGTTCGCCTTGATAAAGGAAAGGTGGAAAGCCAGTTCGAGCGCAAATTATGTGTCTGAGGATCGTGAAAATCCCTTCCCGTGTGATATCTGCTATCCGGCTCACCTACACTTCTATCCTCGCTCTTTCTATATTCAATGCCT